TGAGAACCCACGCATGCACAGGAACATGCAAACTCCATGCAGAAAGATCCCAGGCCGGGAAGCGAACCCAGGACCTTCTTGCTGCAAGGCAACAGCTCTAACCACTGTGCAGCCCACGACGAAAACATTTACATGAAAATTGCAACGTGTTTGAATTGACATCATGATCTCCAAGTGACCCAAATACATATAAAACTTGCAAATTTCAGTTGTGACAAGCAACTTCCAAAATTTGCAACTCCAAAATGACACTGCCTACATTAGTAAAGATATTACAATCAAATATGTCAGAAAAGATGTAAAGATGTTTCGATCTGTGTCCATAACAGTGTTTAACAGTGTGGGTGATGCGCACGGAACGTTTCGCTTCAGTGTGTCTCCCGAAAGGGGGGGTGGGGGGGTGGGGGGTTCATAGCAGTAGCGCTGGTATTTCAGCTGTGGTGCAGCGCCACGTCTGAGCCTATGTAGGGGAAACTGCATAAGGCAAGGTGTCATTAATGTAAAATTTCAAAGGATGATTTTTGGATTGTGTAAATTTAAATGTAGCGGTCATTTGGTGAGATGTGGGGATGCCCTGGACAGCGCCGCCAACTGCCAACCTCACTCACTCACACCTAGAGGCAATTTAGAGTCTCCATCTAACCTAGCATGCATGTTTTTGGTCTTTCTGAGAAAACCGGAGTACCGGGAGAAAACCCACGCATGTATGTAGAGAACATTCTAACTCTTAACAGAAAAAGGCCACAACTGGGATTCAAACATGCAACTGTTTTTCTACCACGCAGCCCTGTAACAAAAACGTGTTTGTTCAAATATAAAATCTAGAACAAACATGACTAAATGAAGCCTTTTAAACATCTATAGGTTATAACAGAAAATGACTCCATTGGGTGGAGACAACACTTGATAAAACAGACAGAAAATTTGATTAAATATGAAAATGACACAATTTTCCTTCCCTATCAACCATCTTCCTGTTGGACGCTGTGACCATTCAACCTCAGACGATTTACAAACGGTCACTTTCCTTTTCAAAATTTTATTTCTAGGGAAGAATGATGATTTTGTTGGTTCAAATGTTTATAATTACATGAAAGGCAAGCAGGAAATCAACTTGTCTGCAAAGATAACAAAGCTAACCTGTTATTTCTGCTTGATAATCAACAATTACAGTCATTATTCTGATTGGGAAAATTGCTGCTGATTGTTTTTCTGTTGCCCTTTTCTGTTTTCTAAAATGTAGCAGAACTTGCACATGAGCAAGTGATGTCCCAATATTGAGATTATAATTTCACATCATATAAATACAGATATAAATATGTTTTGATATTCAAAGAGTAATTCCAAAACTAGAATATTTGATTTTCAAAAAAAAAAATTCACATTTTTATTGTCACTTTTTTTTAATCACTTGGTAGTAACACACTAATGACCACTAGGTGGTGGCACCCAGCATTGCCCAAACCACAATTATTTAAATAGTTTTCGGTTAACTTTGGGTAAAAGTTTGATTTTATTAGCACAAATTAAGACTCAACAGTTGGTTAAGTTCCGTGTTTAAAAAATTATTCACGTTCAAAAATGTTGCGCATCCACTCCACTGACAAATTTGTCCCTCATTCTCGTCCACCTCTAAACCCACGTTTCCCCTCATTCACATCTACGAATAAAACCCTTGCTGCAGATCTTTTTACTCCTCCAGTCACGGGTGAATAAAATGTTCCTCTTTTTAGAGTTTTTCTGCGAGGTATTCTTCAAACTGCTCCGTGTCTGCCGCTAGAGGGCGCAATGACAGTGCTGTTGACGAAAGCGGCGTCCTGACCAATCACAAGCTTGCATTCTCCATCTCATTCAGCGGGTGGTTAGAAAAGTTGGCTCGACTCCGTCCGATTAAAGTGTGCCTTCATACCAACGCAGAAGCATAAACTAGTCCAAAATCATAAACCATTAGCTAAGATTAGTCCATCTCAAGACAAATGTTGTAAATTAATGGCATGAATGTGATCAATCTGAATTATGCTATAATGACATTAATTGGTGGCCCATCATACCCTGGCAAGCCAGACTAAATAAATGTATTATTTAGTCTGGCCATGCTCCATTGATGGCTCTCGGTTGTGGGGCGGGTTCTACCGTTGTCTTTCAAATGATCTCTGCATTCCACTGGACAATGAATGTGACATACTCTTGTTTCACTCTGTTGCATCATCCCACCCACCAGGCATATAGAGTGCCCTGATTGGCCCACAAAGCGGATAAAGCTCTGTGATTTGTTCACCAAGCAGATAGAGCACTATGATTGGCCCACCATTATGGACCAATCACAGCTCTTTATGTGTTTGAAACCCCCCTAGAGAGCTGTGATTGGCTAGCCAGAGTCCTGGTAGGAGCTGCTGAGGTTCCAATGGAGCATGCCTAGACCAAACTTTGCAAAGCAAGAATTTGGTCTAGTTCACTAGGCTAACAGCCCATCAACCATAAACTCATAAATTAGATTTTTTTTAAATCATTTAGATCCATGAACAGACCATTTCCAAGAATTAAAGGTGTTGAACACTTGTTTAATCAGTACATTTGCACTGGTCTCTAGTAGGAATGAATGCCTTGTAAGTTGTTCTCTGGGGTGAGGGCTGATGTGTCTGCATCAGGAAGTACAATTCAGCTGGAGGAGAAAGTATCTTCAGATGACAGGATTTGGAGTCTTATTTCCTGATATTCTGACATCTCACCTCTGATTGGCCCACAGCAACACAGCTCTACCACTGCTTCTGTTTGCTCTACAACGCTGATGTTTTATCTCCACAAATAACACAAGCCTGAAGGAGTTATGCTGTGTGGTGGAGTTGCTAATGCTAACAGTTAGCTTCTACTAGCCAAGACGTTCCCTGCTGTTTCCTGGACGCCAAAGAAACAACAGCTCTCCCCATTATGAGTCAAGATGGGTGAGTCCATGAATGTTGAGTGACAGTGTGACATAGATCTGTCAGGATTTTCACATCCTAGAGTTTCACCGTCTATTTTCTCTCAGAAGCTAATGCAGGAGATAGGTGTAGGAGACTATTTTCATGTTCAGCCTGCATGAAAAACTGACTGATTATAATACAGGGTATCTGCAGGTTTAAGGGAGCCAAATTTAAGACTTGTTAAGACCTTTTTTAAGGCCACTTTGACCAAATTTAAGCTATTTTTTTATTAAATTTAAGTTATACTTTCCAGCTATTGCCTGGAACCGGTGCTAACCACGTCGTGAACGTGGGATTAGCCATCCAGTTACCATTAATGTTGCACTTCCCCATGGCGCAAGCTCCCACTAGCATGCTCCTCTAAAAGTAGCCCCCTTTCACAACCAACCGAATGTGTACGGTTCCGCTTACGCCAACATCGTACACAAAAAATGCTGAACACTAACTAGAAATTCACGAAAATTTAATAGAAATAAAAGAATCTTGTTTATTGGGTCTTTGGTAATTTAAGACCTCTGGAAACAGTTTTTAAGGATTATTAAGGCCTTAAATTTGGAAAAGCAAATTTAAGACTTTTTAAGAACCTGCGGATACCCTGTAATGAGAAATAATAGTTTAAAATGTTTTGTTTTTCAGTCACCCTCACTTTTGATGAAAAACCTGAACTGTTTCAAGGTCCATGGACTCATCATAACAAACTGACGACAACAGAGCTCCCATATGGAATTTTTGTATTCCAGAGTCAGATTTTAAAAACTCTATTATTTAAAATTCCAGATGACTGGCCCGTATAAGTATTTAAAATAATATTTGTGTCCCAAACCTTTTCTGCTCATGTCGGCAGAAGCCCTTTTCTATATGTGAGTTGTACTGTGGCGTTAATATTCAAATAATAATAAAATATCTGCTTGAACATTTGAATATTATTGTGGCTTGAAATGCCCACTCCTCCTAATAATATAGATTTTTTTTACAGTCTAATTGCTTATTAACCACCTGAGTGGACATATAAACACTCTGAAGAGTACTTTTTTTGTGCCCAAAATGTATAAAAACACAATGTTTTTATTTTTATACTTCCCACATTAAATGATGATGAAGTTACCTTTTATTTCACAGAACTATTACACAATATCTGGACTGTTTGTCCTCTAAACACAATGTAAACAAAAGCAAGGGGATCGTGTTTACATCCTGTTTCATATGCAGACGTGGGAGCATCAGCAGCAGTGTAGCCATAACACACACTGGGCAAAACACTATTTGCATCCACTTTTAATGGTTTGTTTTGTCTAATGAGCTGCTGGCGGGTGGAGTCTGCCACGAAACACAAGAAAAAATGATTCAGCAAACCACACGATTCTCATGATGTGTGGTAAATGTCACCTGCCTGGGGCTGAGAAAGCAGGTTTCACACACTCTCATGGTGATCTGCTGTTACCATCAGGATGAAACCAACCAGGGGGAGGGGGATAGACAGCTTAGAGTCCAGGGTTCAGCAGATTAGACCAACATGTTAGATGAGCAAACACAACCCCAGTTCTGAATCAGAACCTCCTCTTCCTCCATCACCACCAACAGCCCTCATTAACCCCACATGCACGTGTGCTGAGGCTCTGGCTGTGGTGGGACACTTTTAACCTCGCTCCCAATATTAAAGGAGACAGCAGTATGTCCACTTTGTGTTTTACACTATAAATGTACAACATTTATGCTTCACATAGATCATTGCACGCAAAAGGGAGCAATAAATACATTTGAAAATGTATTTTTAAAACGATTAAAGGTATTTTTTTTAATGTTGATTAACACATTTTTATTACATTCTAGTTATTTTTTTTAAGTGTGCAACAGGTGCAAACCCCCCACTTTATCACTATAGCAACCAGAATGTAAGCTAACCAATAAAAGCTAGAGATGTAGTTTAAATGTAGCTAGCAGCCATATGGCTTACCTGCCGATGCTACGTGAGTAAACGTTTAATAACACAATAGCTTAACAGTAACACGCATAAGGACGGTCAGTATTTGGACCTACCTGTCGAGCTGAGCGAAGGTGTGGCACTTAGCCTCAGGTATCAAAAACACACGGATGTCATTTATCTTCTTTCGCTTCCGGTCCTTTTATTTAACATAAGAAAAACATACAGGTGTAAGAAGTAAACGCTGCTACAAGGACGTTCCCCCCGTGGCTCTGAGTTGTTGTTGAGTCGCTGAGAAGAGTTCCCCCCTCTCGGAGTCTCCGCGGTCCCATGTCTCCGGTGTGAACGGCGGTCTGATGATGGGTTGGTTAGTTAGTTAAGTTAGTTTGTACAACTAGTGGAGCTCAGTAAGCTGCCATTAGTGGGGAAACAACTGCTTCCGCTTTCATCCTTCACAATAAAATCCGCCCCCACCGAGCTACTTTTGTATTTTCACTTTCAAAATTATCACCTTCATGTTAAAAATTAGTTTGTTGTTTTTTTTCAAGCGCTTAGAAGTAAGGTTGTTTAGATGTTTGTTTCAGATATCCCAGTTTACCTTTATTTGAACAGCAACAACGCAAAAACAATTTTATTATTGGTTCAAATAGAGCTAGTTCATCAGTGATGCCCCCAGAAAATTAACAGGGGGGGGGGGGGGGGGGGGGGTCTTTAGGGTGGCACACGGAATTGGTCCCTATGAGAGAGTTTAGCCTGCAACTGCATTGCTCATTCATTTTTTTAATTACAAAATAATTAGCCTTTGCATCCACTTTTAAATTTGAGAAACACAAACATTTCACAAAAAAGACAAGTGTTCAGCTATCATTAAAAAAAATATTGTTTTATTGCTGCAGCTCTTTTACTGTTTCAACAAATAAGCATAAAATTATTGGGATTTATACCTTTATCTGAAATGGTGAGCCTCATTAAAACATAATTAAATAGTGATTTATTAACTAAACAATTTAAAAAACATTCATGAAAATCACGTTTTTAGCTCTAAATTTTATATCACAGTTAAAGACGATGAATCTGTGTTTTTTTTTTAAAATAATTGTGATTCATGAAGAGGGGTGTGGGGAGTGGTTTTCCTTGGGGGCTCAGTGGGGTGGCCAACGATTTTCAATGGGTAGCCATAGCCCTCTTTGGCACCGCTTGGGGACACCACTGTAGCTCATCACTTTATCGTCTACCTCTAGAAGCAAGGCTGTTAACACATTTATCAAATTATTAAAATCAGTTAAATATATATATATATATATATATATATATATATAATACTTTTTAATTAAAACATCTTATTTTTTTATTTTTTTTAATTGAAATGTGCAAAATAAAAAATCTATTAAACATCATAAAGATGAAAGTAATATTTTGAATGTCAGCCTTCTTTTCTTCAATGATTTATACAGCTTTTGTTAACCTCACTTTAACAATATTAGTCTTTTGTTATTATTTGGTCATTTTTATGGGTTAAATATACATATGAAGTAGAGCCCTGCACGGGCCTAAAATCTGAGCTCGTGTCCGGCTCGGCCCGGCCCGAGGGGGTGGAGCCCCAGCCCGACCCGGTCCGAAAAGGTTTTCAGGATTCTCTGGCCCGACCCGAGCCCGACTTTTTTTAACCAACTAAATGAAAACAAAGTGCGTCAATCCTGACCAATGTGTTAAAAGACTGCAGGATCCGATCAATTTGTTTTTCCCTCATTTACCGTCACGGAGATAACGGCGCACTGGCTCTGGTGGTAATTAAGTTAAATTTGATCTCTTTCCAACAATTTTCACAAGAAAACAAAACAGTTAAAAGCAGGGCTTGTGTTGTGTTGAGCGGATAGTTCCCGTATTTCACCGTTTATTTTGATGGAGAAAGAATAGAAAGAATTACCCCGACGCATGTAGACGAACTGACATTTTATTCATTACGCACATCGCAGATGTAGCTAAATCACCCAAGAAAAGATTCCCATCTGAACATCTGAGCTGGGCCCTGCTCATCGCAGCTCGCTGTCAGCGCATATGTGCACAGTGAGCTGAAGTTGTGGAGATTGGCTTGGAGTGCATCGCAGAACCAGAGCGCATGCGGGAAGGTTCCTCCCACTGAAGCGAGTGTTTTCCAAACCCTGTCTCTCAGAGAGACTTGTCACTTAGAAAATGTTCCCTGATTATGAAACTTTGGCTGAATAGCGCTTGTTCCTGTCTCCAATGTGGCGACACATCCAGGAGCCGTCTGAGGAGAATCCCAGAATCTCACATCTTCAGCTCTGAAAGCGCCGATATGATTATGCACAAGCGTGACCCGTCAACCCAGTCTCACAGTAAGACCGGGTTGGACCTGTTCAGGTTTACGCAGACAATCTTTACATAGAACTTACTTACAGATATAAAATTAATTCAGTAAAATATAAAGCATTTTATTTAAATATCCATTCATTATTTTACAAGCACAGAGAGCCGCATCAGATTCAGATCAGCGGGAAGATTCTTCCAACTGAATTCAGTCGGAGGAATCTTCCTGCATGCGCTCTGGTTCTGCGACGTGCTCCAAGCCCCTCTCCTCATCTTCAGCTTGCTGTGTACCTTACGTACGCGCTGACAGCGAGCTGCGCTGAGCAGTGTCCAGCTCAGATGTTCAGAAGGGAATCATTTCTTGAGTGATTTAGCTACATCTGCGATGTGCGTAACGAATAAAATGTCAGTTCGTCTGCATGCGTCGGGGTAATTCTTTCTAATCTTTCTCCGTCAAAATAAACGGTCAAATACGGGAACTGTCCGGTTAACACAAGCCCTGCTTTTAACTGTTTTGTTTTCTTGTGAAAATAGATAAAATTTAACTTGATTAACACCAGAGCCAGGCGCACAGCGCCGTTATCTCCGTCGCTGTAAATGAGGGAAAAACAAAATGATCGGATCCTTTTCTGACCTTCCCCACCTACAAAGTTTAATTACAACAATCAAACGTGACAGAGCCTGGATTTGTATTCTGAACAGTCTAAACATGTTTTAAAAAGAAACGTATGACAAAAGTGGCACCTGCTCAGTAAAACCACCGACAGGGTGAAAAATATCAAAATATTGTAGGCAGAGACGGGCTACAACTTCTGGATCCACTTTATATAAATCGTTTTATTGATTATCTTCTTATGAAAGATAACTTTGACGTACACGAGCGACCGGTACCGGCTGCTGTCACCTGTTGCGAGCAGGCGCGGCGTTGTAGGCCCCGCCCACAACGCTGCGGCTGCTGTGGCTCCCAGTGTTTTCTTTACTGTGGGAAACGGATAATAATGGCTCTTTGATGGGAACAGGTTGCCGACCCCTAGTTTAAGTGTTTCAATTTTTTTTAATGAATTCGATTAAAAATAAAGGTGCCCGGCCCGTGTCCGAGGTAATTACACAGTCGCTGGCCCGAAGCCCGGCCCGACGGCCCTCGGGCCGGGCCGACCTGAGGGCCTAGGACTTCAGTGCAGGGCTCAAGCAATTTATAACTCGATGTGCATCTTCAGGCTGCAGTCCCCTGTTGTTTGGATCCTTTACCCAGCATGCCATTGTATATAATATATTCATACTTTAAGCCAGCCATCTAAAAATGAGCTGTTGCTTTCAAGCATGTAAACTGCAATGAGGTTTTTTTGCATTTGTGGTGAATACTTTGTATTTTGCTTTACAGTTATGCACACCAGCAACACTTTGGTCAACAAATGTTAGTTTTAAAATATTCTTGAAAACAAACTCCTAAAATCAAAATGAATTGAACAATACTTTGTTGATCCCAAAAGGAGTTTTTAAAAAAAGGGAAAGAAAAGAAAAACTACATAAAAGCATCCGTGATGGATCTTTTTCAGGCTTTTGCTAACTTATGACCACTTTTCCTGTTCACCACACCTTTTGAAATGAATCTTTAATTATTTGTGACTTCCTGTTCTGACCTGCCTGATCGAGTTCAGCTTGATGCAGCTGAGCCTGACGTGCCTTCTTACAGTTTCCAGGGTCGATCATATGACTCGGATGTGACCAGGGTGAAATAACTCTTCACCACTTAAAAGTTAACGTAAACGTGGTGCTGAAAAAGGGAAAAGGAAGTATACCACTCAAGCCAAACTAAACAATACAACAGAAACAACCTTTTGAATATAAAATTGATTAACTTTACTTTAAATATTTGCAGAAATTCTTAACTGAAGCTCAAAAACTTGAAATGAAAGCTTTAAGAAGACAAAATTGTTTTTTTCACCATCTTAAGAAGTTATTGACTGTGTGGTTATCAGAGCATAGATGGGGTTGTTTCATGTGACACGAGGGATGAATTACTGCCCTCAGGATCACACACACATGAGAACCAGTTTGAGTGTTTACACATCTACAAAGTAAGTCCATCCTCAAACGGGTCAGCAACACAAATCCTATGGAAAATGATTAAAAAAAGACAGAAGTTCTCTGAATGTGTTTCACAAGAAAAGTGTGTGTTTCTCAGTATTTGTGCATTGTTTATGTACTGGTGCATTTTTTTCTATTTATAAACATTTGCAAAGACAAACTAAAAGTTTCAGATTCCCCATTCAAATGACAATTGAGTTGTTTTTCTGCATGGATGGAATCTGGAATTCCCAACACAAATAGAACCTTTCTGATGCTTTGGTGATCTTCTCACTTCACAGAGTACAATTATTAAAATTAGCTATGCATTTATCTTTGCAGCAGAAAATTAGGAACGAGTAAAACAAAGATATGGAGGAATGATAACTAAAAAGATTGGAAAATGTGTTTAAACTAGACTTCAGGGATGCTAAAGGTGTGGAACACTTTAAGTACATTTGCAGTGGTCTCTAGTAGGAACGAATGCCTTGTTAGTTGTACTCTGGGGGAGAAAAGCTCTGATGCGCCTGTTTCAGGATCTAGAAGTGAGCCACACCACAGCTGAGCTTCAGACGACAATTGGCAGTCTTATTTCCTGATATTTGGACACCTCGCCTCTGATTGGTTAACAGCAACACAACTCTGACGGTGACTGTTTACTTTGCAACACTGATGTTCTATCTCCTCAAATAACACAAGCCTAAAGGAGTTCTGCTGTGTGGTGGAGTTGCTAATGCTAACGGTTAGCTTCTGCTAGTCAAGATGTTCTCTGCTGTTTCCTGGACGCTAAACCAACAACAGCCTTCCTCGTCATTGTTAAGTGACAGCATGATGTTGATCTGCCAGGATTTTCTAGTCCTAGTTTCACCAACTATTATCTATAAGATGCTAATGCAGGAGATAAGTGTAGGAGACTTTTTTCTTGTTCAGCCTGCGTAAAAAATATAACATCTGAAATATCATCATAATAATCATTAAAAAAGATTTTTTTTCAGTGATCCACGCCTTTAAAAGTGGGAAAAATGTATTAAAAAATTTGGTGGACAACGGTGGCACAGGAGTTAAGTGCTCGCCCCATAATCAGAAGGTTGCAGGTTCAAGTCCAGCTCAGTCTGTTGCTGTCGTTGTGTCCTTGGGCAAGACACTTAACCCACGTTGCCTGCTGGTGGTGGTCGGAGGGACCGGTGGCGCCAGTGCTCGGCAGCCTCGCCTCTGTCAGCTGTGGCTGCATCATAGCTCATTCCCACCAGTGTGTGAATGGGTGAATGACTGGTTGTGTTGTAAAGTGCCTTGGGGGGTCCCAGGATTCTAGAAGGCGCTATATCAAATACAGGCCATTTAAAAGGAAGGAGGAAGTATTATAGCTGTGAGACAAATGAACTGCGTTGTCAGGTTTAGGCGCTCCCTTGAATATCATCTAATGTGAATTTTGTAATGGGATTTTTTTCATCATCAGCTTTTTAAATCAACAATAACTGATAAATCTTAGCTTTATGTACTGACTCGGTTTGAGTATCATTTCAGCAGAAATGTACAAAGACTGTATTCCACATCATCTCGTACTCAACTCAACCTTTATTTCTAAAGCGCCTTTCAGGCACAGAGGTGACAACAAAGTGCTGCACAGACAAATATTAGTAAAGACAGGACAATTTAAAAGAGAAATAAAAACAACACACGAATTGCACAAGTAAAAGAACACAACAAGCAGACTAACAGCCATGGCTAACATAACTTAAATGTGCGTTAAATCAATTCTTCTCTTAAACATTTTAAAAGGAACTCTTTTGTACATTTCTTTAGCTCATCGTTTTTAAACTACCACAAACGATTTGTAACATTTCCAGCTGCTCAACTAGAATCAAAGCAGAGTGGGCTCTCCTCCTAGTGGCTTCAGAGAAAACAGGTCAGGACTGGGGGGGGGGGGGGGGGGGGGGGGGGTTATCTCTTCTTGTGATCTAGCCTCGATGCAGCGGGGAGAAGTGAGAAAAGACCAGATAACAGGGATAGAGCGGGTTGTGCTTATCACAACTCACCTCACTGATAAAATGTTCTTGTGAGTGATATCAAATTATGAGAAGTGACTTTTCTGTTTCAAGTGGCACCAACAAGGTGGGTTCAGGAGGGGCAAACGTCACCGGTAAAATGTGTTCCCCTATTAAAATGAATGAAATAGATGAGAGGATGAGTTTCATAGTCTGGCAAGCCATTTTACAGTATGTCTGTACACACATAGACCCATGGAGAGCTCAGCTGAGGAGTGGAATCTATTGTTGTCTTTCAAATGGTCTCCTCGTGCTATTGGACAACGCTAGGACCAATTAAAGCAATGGCAAATGGCCTGTAATTGTATACTACTTTCTTAGGGTTGAGAATGGGTACCGTATTTGGTACATTCTAAGGCACCGACCGAATTCCATGGTACCAACCAAGGACCGATTCATGTGATATGAAACGATGCCTTGTTTCGGTACCTTTTGCCACAGAGCAAGCAACATGAGGAACATGAAGGACGGAACTTGCCAGCTCAAAAATAAACAATCAGAAAAAAGGCGGAAATACCGACTCGACCGCACAGCGCTGTAGTTTTTAACTGTAGTCAAAAATGATGTCTGGCGATGGCGCTAACATCTTTCTTTTTAGAAGAAAAGCTTTTAGCGCTTCTTGTTGTGGTTTTAAAGACATGTTCAAGTCATTTAGAACAGAGGAAAGAGCCGCAGCGAACTCCGCTTCAGATGCCATGTTTGTGAGAAACTCAGCGTCGCTGTGTGTGACGTACGCTGCTCATCGCTGATTGGCTCGGTTGGAATTCTCAGGGGGTGGGGTTATTTGAATAGGAGAGTTCCCAGACCCTTTGCTTCCCATAAGGAAGCATGGGCTGGCTGGTCAGGCTACTCATCACCACAGTTATTCCAGAGGGAATTTAAGAGGAATAGGAGTACACGGAGCTGGGTTTTAGTTTTTGTATCATTTTAAGGTTTTCATATTGAAGAATTTTGTACAACACTACGATGATAAAATACAGTTTGTATGTTATTTATCAAATATAATATGTTTTTATAAAAATATTTAATTATAAAGAGAATTAATTAACTATCAAACACTCAAAAGTATCAAAAATTGTTACCTTTAAGTACCGGTAGATTCGTAGGTACCGGGAAGTGGTACCGAATCGATTCAAATGTGAAAGGGGTTCTACAACCCCCCAAGGTGCTTCACAAAAATCATTCACCCATTCACACACACATTCACAAGCTGTAATGAACAGCAATGAACGTGACAGACTCACCGCTACTGATATTAGTCAACGGGGCAGTCCACTGTACGCTGTCGAAGACTCAAATACATCTTTTTTCTAAATAAACCTAAGTGCCTCTCACAGCAAATTCAAGTGTTAATTTTCTGGTGTTGGTCCAGTTTAACACCAAGAATAGCTAATTTAACACTAAAACAAGTTATATAGTTGAAATGTAACACTGAGTTAAAACCCAGTGTTAAAAAGGAGTGTTTCCTAATCAACTCTGTAGGAGTCACTTTGGACAAAAGAACTCCTGAAATTCTAACTCTGAACTCCCACAGCAGCTGAAACACCTGCAGAGTTTATATGTAGACTCCATCCTTTTATTCGAAAAGTTGGACTGGTAGCGACCGTTTGGCTGCAGAGAGTTGCAGGGGCTGCAGTGGGCAAGGTGCATTGTGGGTAGTCATGTTTTTAGTTAGTTTGTTCTATTTTGGGGTGTTTATGCATGTTTATTTTGGGGAGTTGTGTTGTTCTTAGTTAGTACTTTGTTCACTGTAGCAAATGTGGTTTCGCTTGTTTTGTCATGTTTGTACCGTAAGTGAGGAGGCCGGTCAAAAGAATGGGACCGCTGTGTGTTCCCCTATCCCAATAAAAATAAGGTCTGTGGTTCATCTGCTCTTGTCTCCAAGAAGAGCCCAAGTCTATGTCTACCAAGATTAATGTCAAAAACGTTTGAATCGAGTGCTGTTTCTCCGTCTCAGCTCTGGTGATAAGCCCATCCAACATGGTGCCGAAAAATATAGTGCACTGTGATTGGCCCGACCTAAAAGGCCAATGAACTCCTTTAAAATAAATTAATAACAGGAAGTTTAGATCTAATTTCCTCATTACCATTTTGCTGCATTTATTTATGTATTTTAGTGGCTTACATACAAAAATACAAAACTCTAGAAACTCAGGGTTTTGGTTTTCCACTTTGAGATTATTAAAGGCTTCCATGTGATCCCCAAAGGCAAACGTTAAAGGTCTTTAGGTCAGCTAAACCTTTGATAAATTTTATTTAACTTTTCCTATCAACCACTTTTTCCAAGTATCGATTGGATTAAACCAAATTTTCAGTTATTGGAGAATAGGTTAAGATTTGGAACATTGGTAAGTTGGGACCACAATAATTTTTTTAAATCAATTTACATCAAACAGTGGCTGTGTTGAAATTCAGGGGCTGCATCGTTCGAAGGACCCGGCCTTTGCAGTCCACTTTGTTGACCACTAAAACCAGAATGAGTGTGTGTGTGTGTGTGTGTGTGTGTGTGTGTGTGTAGATCCTGTTGCTTATCAATCATGATGGCCCAAACAGTGGTTAAAACTAAATTTAGCAGCAATGCAATCTGAATTTTGCGACTCGCCATACAAGGTTGTTTACAAGAGTTTATCTTTTTTTTTGGACAAAAAGTATAAAGAACTATGCAAACAACAAAATCCTAACAAAACAACTGCTTTTACCTTTGTACCACTGGATATTAATGTATTAACATCTAGAACTACTCCTTTCCCACTTTATCCGCCATTGTTATAAGATCAAAATTCTCCTGTTCGGTCTACAAGAAATCTTGATGTAGGGTTGGCCGTGAAGTAGACATCAGACTTGTCCTTTAAGTTGGGGTAAATTAAGGAGGAGCCTTTGAATTTGGACAGCCTTCGTTGTATCTCAGTGAAAATGCTGCCTTTGAAGAATGCAGTCCCTGAACTTTGACAGTTTTCGATTTAGTAAACATTGAAGTCCAGATTTTTTTCTTTTTACTTCACAACTGTGCAGCAATTTAATTCAAACTTCAGTAGACTGTAAAGTGTTCAGTCACGCTTGGTTTTTATGATACGTGGAAAGCAGCGAGGGACGTATGGGTGACTAAAGCTTCTCCAGACAGAACATACAGTCATACACAGTGATGACAAAAGCTTCTCACTCACACAGTTAAAGCTGCGAACAAAAAACGTAGCTATTTTGAGCCTTGGTAAATGTCATATGGTAAACAGAGCTGTTGAGACCCAGTTCATCAAACATGGCGTGTAATTAAAAGCCTGCACGGTGCTGCAGGTGGAATGTGCTTGCGATAGTCGAGCCCTTGTCCTGAGGACGGGAAGGGGCACCGACAGACGTGAGCTCACCATTATTACAATAAGGCGTGGCCAAGCCTGCAAGTACTGCTGACCTGACGTTGCCGTGGAGACAGCACACACGTATTAGTTCAGAGTGACACCACAGGGAAATTAAAATGGTAACTCAAAGCAACAGGGTTTTTATTGGCCAATCACAGCTTGATCCTGGGTTGTGTTTGCTTTGCGGGTTTGTGTGTTTGGCACATGCATCACCTAATTATCATGACGCTGTCAGCCAGTGTTGAAGAAATATTCACCACGCTTGTCTGGCATTCAGAATCAAGCAATTACTGACCCATCAAATCAAATCAAATGTGTGTTTCAGGGTGTTGACTCTAAAAACTACGCAAATAACCTGCTTCACTGTACGTTCATGGAAAACAAGTGTTTGTTCAGGACTAGGTTGCTAATTAGAGGGTCATTAAAACTAACTGGAGACAAAAAAAGAACAATAAAAGCTGGAGAGAGTTACGTGGAGGCAAAAAGTGACCCATTTTATTACATTAAATTGTTTCATACAAACAATGCATACACACTAGGTTCATATTGCTTCAGACATAAGTTTCTTTTCTGTTTAATTTCCAGTTAAACAACTCTGTAACAAAATGTAAGTACAACATTTATGAAAATATAAATCTCTAAACAGGTAAGTCAGTCCTGACGATAGAAAGAATACCATAGAAACATTCATTACCAGTATGTCAACTAGAAGTTGCAAACATGTAAGTTGTTAAAAGTCATTCAAGTTACATAACATACAATAATACCATTTACTGGCTTCCATATGGACACATTCAAATATACTCTTGAACTGGCATTCCAATATATTTTCATAAGAGAATCTCTTTTTTTTTTACTTTTTAGCAAAGATAGCACATTTTCTCTATCATAAACATAACCACGGTCCAACACTTCAACAATTTGGTAACAAGATAATTACAGTACAAGCCCTAAAAAACAAATGAGACGGTCAACAAGTTGAACTATATTTTGAACTTTGGCAATTACATAATAGAATATGTTATTTATATAGATTTCTTTAAATTTAGAAACTCTTGAGTCGGTGGGAAGCTTTAAAGCTTGGTGCTGCTACCAGGTTTGATATTTTCAAAGGGCTGTTGTCGAAACTGTTTAAAAGTAGTAAACTTCGAATATGATGTAATAGCCCTTAAAAAGTAAATGTCAGAGGAAAAGTGTTTTTTTAACTTCCATTTCATGCTTTTCAGAAGATCTCAAATTAAAACTGCTGAACAAATAGGTACTTTGCTGTATAGAAAGCCTCCACTGCATCTGCACGGTACAACCTCAAAATGACGATAATGCTTAGATTGTCAGCAGATCTTTATTTTCAACGTATACGATGTCTTCAGTTACACCTTGTGTCCAAAAGTCCATACTATTCACTAAATCCCTACTATGTGTGCTTTTACCTTATGTTTGTTTCGTTACTTTTATTTCAAGCTAAATTATGCTAAGCCAAAATAAGTTAAGCTAAATAAAGCAAAATTAAGTCAAACTAAGATATCCTTAGCCTAACTAAACAAAATAGGGCAGAGCCCAGCAAAATTTAGTTTGGTACAAATTCTCAGTCATACAGGACAAGCCCAATCAAAGCTATAATTTAAAAGCTTGAAACTCTCTACTTGTCTATTTAAATAAAATATTCTTTGGACAAAAAGCTACATTTCTTTAAATACACAAAAGTCAAGTTACCCTTAACCCTCCCACTGTCCCAATGGGAGTGACCCCATGAGGAAAGTTGACCATTGAGCAGGGTTGATGGTTTAGCACCACCTCACCCCTGCCACGTGGACCTCAAGGGATAAACCATCAGTCCTGCTCAATGGTCAACTCTCCTCGCGGGATCACCCATAAAGACAGTGGGAGAGTTAAGAAACCATCAAAACTCTTAGGATAAAATAGATTAAGCTAAGCTATGCCAAACAGAGCATGGCTAAATGAAGTAATACAAAATTAATCCAACCTAGTTGAGGCTAAGCTAATTAGCATTCCAGTGTCCCTGCCCATGGGACAAAACCCCACTACGTTCATTAAACCTGGAAATTTAAGGGGTGAACAGAAAAATAAAACAAAAAAGACCAAGCTTAAATAAAACATGGAAGGTAAAATTAAAATGGAGAATCTAAGCTAAGCTACATCTAGATAAAAACAATCAAGGCTAAACTAATACAGCAAATCCTATCTGGACCACGCCAAGCTAGGTGGCACCAAATAAACACTGACTGGGCCACACTCAGATTAGCTAAGTTTAAACCCAACAGGACTGAGCTAAGCTAAGCTTCTCTATATCATGGCTAAGCTAAGCTATAACATTCAGCTATAATCTGTTATACCATATTTGTTTAACACATGGAACATCGCTCTAATTCGTAAAGCCTAAATAATACAAACATAGCAAAAAAGGGCAAAACCTCTTAGGGCTGTGAAATGTACTTTATTTAACGATGCTAACGCATGTTTAAAATGGCTGCCAAGCATTACTTTCGTTGATTTGATGCGTTGTTTGTGCGCGTCCTCTGTAATGAATGCGACACATCTGAAGTCTGCAATATACGTGTAACCAGTAGGTGGAGTTGACAAAACAAGCAAGACACACTCGCCATGGCGACTCCTCTGATTTAGAGGTATTTTGTACCACCTACGGTGCCACAGCTGTGTTTTTTTTCTGTCGTGAACTTAAAATAAACCAGTTACTGATCTCTTCTATTGCCACCATGTTTGTTTTGGTTGCACCCACAAACCCGGCTCTCTGTCTGGTCTGAGTAGTCTAATGTGCCCCCTAGTGGTACACTCCAGTACTACATGCAGTGCAGTGCAGTGTGGCAGTAAGTATGTGAACGCAGCCGACTGCCTGTGCCAACGCGAGGTTAAAGAGCAAGTATATCACAGTACTTAGCTAACTAACTCAAAGTAGTTTTTTTGCAAGCTTGACTACTTTGCATAAGTTATAAAAATAAAAATCAAAGTGTCCAGTGCTTTCATGTATAGTGTGCATTAAGACTTTCACTGGTTTTGTACTAATGTGTTGGACACTATTATGACAATCTCATTTATCATTCTTAAAGACAAATACATAGCATATTGGTATGAACATTTGGACACTGGCACTGACCATGAAAACTTCAAAGGCTGTTGCATCTTTGGCAAAACTGTAAAACAAACATTAAAAAGGTTTTAAAATAAATGCAAAACCAACCACCCAACCCAAAAAAAAAAAAAAAAACAAAAAAAAAAAACATCTGCTTTGAATCTGTGCTCAGATGTTTCCAAGATAATTTTTGCTATGGCTACATTTTCTCCCCTCACATTTGCATTCATGTTTTACCAAAGATAACAACCAAAATCTTTGAAATTCTTTCGTAGACATCATGTCCCTTGTTTTATCCTTGTTTAGTCCCAATTATTTCCAAATGGCTTCGTACTGCTCTGATGACAACTTTTTTTTCACTGTTCAAATCAGTTAAATTTTGGGAAAGCTTAGCATTTTATAAAATAGCTTGTGTGTTTTTGTCAGCAGACCAAATATTTATTTTACTTAAGACAAATCTAAATATTTTCAACAATCTAAATATTTCATCTAAAAATTCTACTGATTTCTCACAAACCACCCATAAAGTGCTTCCATTGAGTGACAAAACTACTAATTACCCACTCTGTCCTTATTTATACAGGAACATTTGAACTCCACAGAACCTAAAGCAAGTACACAGGTTAAGGCGTCGATGTGTATGGTGCTATGCTACACTGTATGCTCAATAGTGTTGTTTCCCTTAAAACAACCCGCACACAAACTGATGGGTCTACAGATAAAGTCACATCTAATCTACGTAAACTGTTCAGAGAAATTATTTAGAGCAATGCCATGGATCTCTCCAGATGTTGACTGGATTTCAGTATCAATGGTGCGTATACTGTGTTTACAAAGTCCCTGCACTTTCATGATTTTTGTAATCTGCACATGAAGAACATTTTACATTTCAGGCACTCACTTTGATTGCATTAAGCACAACTTAACATCTTTAAGGAGTTGCACAAACTGCAGCAGCCAAAATGAGATAAGTACTGTACATGTATGTTTGTGGTTCTTTCTCTTTGTACAGTACCACCTGATGTTGATACAAACATGAATATATTCTGAAGAACAACATTATGGCTTCACATGTACAATGTAAATAACATAATGAAAGTGGCTAAGACCACTGGATTGGCTTTGAAAATGTTGGACTAAGACATTTCGATCATTTTGTTCTTCAAATGCAAAAGGACACAATGGCAAACTAAGAAGGTACATAATTGACCGATTCATTTTTTCAGTAACACTTTTTTGTCTAACAGTCTTTATGTGTAAATCTAACATAAAGTTGGAAGTAAGTAATACATCATTAGAGTGCAGCGTTAAAATCGTCGGCCCATTAACCCCCCACCCCCACAGGACAGACATCTGCAGCTGAATCACGTGGCTGTAAACAAGAATCAACTGCAAACCCAGAGATTCTAAATTTCCTCTTCTCATAACTCCACTTTTCCTCCATATTTCATGGCACTACCTCAGTCTTTTTTGTAGGCGTGGTCGACTCACCCTCTCCGGAGTCTGACACATTAATAGGGCTGTCTCTTGAGAAGACTTCTGTTGATTCCCTCCAGGTGCAGTCAGCAACAGTTTTAAAGGAATGGTTGCCACATTTAGGGCGTACCTTTTGCGAGGCATTGTTGACAATCTGTCGGCTGTTGGAGGTGGCTATCTTTATCTTGAGAGTAGCATCAACACGATCTACGACCGTGTATGTGCCAATGCTGCCGTCCTCAAAGCCTATGATGATGTTTAGCGCTCTCTGGGAAAGAGACAGGAAGGTGGGGGTCTTGTATAACGAACATGTGCCAATGCTCTTGCCATCTGCAAGACGCATCACAATGAGACTGGATACTACACCTGCATCATCATCCTCATCACAGTTTCTGAAGCAAACATATACAAGGTAGCGTCCATCTCTTGATAATTTTTGACGCCAGATTATACCTGCTGCATGGACAAGCCTCAGTTTCCCACTGTGAAGATCCAGAACGTTGATGTTCTCATCCCCTTTGGAGACTATCCCTAACTTCCCATTTGGTGAGATTTGGAAGTCCTCCAGATTTTTGAGAAAGTTGGTTGGCAGCTGGACTCGTCTGCATACTGACTCATCTGCTACACTCCAGATGAAGACAGTCTCAGTGGAAGTGATGAAGACTGCACAGTCAGGGCAGTCAGGAATGAGCTTGAAGTTGACAATGGTGATGCCATCATCACAGACAAATTTTTTGGACACACTTCCTGACCACAGGCTGACAGCAAGAAGTTTATTCTTGGATGTTCCCACTAGGAAAGTGTTTGCTGTGGTGATCAGTGCATTCTGGAGCGTGACTAAAATGTTGCAGACTTTGTGCCCAGTAGCAAGCCTCCAGACTCTGGAGGCATTCTGCTCACAGAGAGACACCACAAACTGGTCATTGTGGGTTATTAGCAGCTGGGATATTCTTTGTCCACTTATGCGGAAAATGTTTTCTCCAGTGTTGGTTTGCCAGATGTACTGACTAGACTTGTCATCTGAAGATACCATTAGATCCCCTGAGGAGGTAAGGACACAGTTCTCCACTATGCCCTCATGTTTGAAGACTGTCTCGATGAAGCCAGTGCTGAAGTTCCACTTGTGTACGGCTTCTGAGCCATCCATGGTAAACACATAGTCCTCTCGACTAGAAAGTTGTAAGGTCTGGATCTTTTTGCCAGTTTTGTCAATGTTAGACATGGCGGTGATTATGTCAATGTCCCAAACAGACAGAACTCCACTGCTGGCAACAGAAAGGAGTAGGTTGTGGTGGGCCGATTTGATGAGTTTAACAATAGCCCCTGAGACCTCAATCAGGCTAGCCATGCATTGCCCACTGTCTCTTCTCCAAACGAATATGGAAGAGGTGTTCTCCATGGAAGCCACAATGCTCTGACCATTTTTGGAGAGAACGGCAGCAACAAAGCGCTCACTACGCTTGGCTTTGAATTTCTCTACCATTTTCCATACTTTTGTGTCAAGAACCTCTATGCTCCACACCTTGCAAATGAGAATGGAGCGTTGGTCCTCTGATAACTCAATACCCACTACTTCACTCTCATCCCCCCTGCAATCATAGTCTTCCATCAGCTTCGGGTTGGTAATCTCTTTGGTGTTCCACACAGACAAACTACCTTCATTGTCAATCATTACCATTTGGCTGAGGGTATCTAGAACAAGAATGGACTTGACAAATCCCCCAGAAAACTCAGATGTCACAGTGGCCAACTTCTCTCCATTTCCTAGATGAAAGATGGATGTTGTGTTGAGGTACTGGCCACAGAAGGCGTACAGTCCATCTGGTGAACACTGGACACATGTCACCTCATACCAGCAATGAAACTGGTAGAGAGGCCAACCATAGACAAGATCAATAATGCTGACATCTTTACTAGCCTCAAGCCAGGCCAAAGCATGATGGGTAGAGAGAGTAAAACCATTGATGAAAGCAACTCCACCAGCAACACCACTGTGCTTTGACCCCTTTATTTCTACCTCTGATAAAAGGCAGGACTTGTGATTATCATAAATGAGCAGGGTATTTTTGGTTGTAGCAACAACCAGATATTTCTCATCAGTGGTTAGCCTGATCCCCAGCACAACAGACCTAGCTGTATCAATCTGTCGTAGGAGCTGCCTGCTCTCTACATCCCATGTACTGATAGATCCATCTTCTAATGCTACTAAGACTATGTTTGGGGCTAGAGTGGGCAAGATCTCCACAATCTGCATGTAGCTGGAGCAAAGAGGAAGCCTTTCTGGACTGTAGGTGACATCCATAGAGGAGTGGAGAGGCACTATAGAGCAGTATTTTGGCCCATCTTTGTCACACTCTAGAAGGAGGTGTCTAAGCTTAGGTAGGGAAGTGACTACTGGCAACAGCCTTTGCTGCAGTTCTGCAGACAGTGATGCGGGGTTTTTAAGTACTTTTACCTTAATGCAACGGAGAGTGGTGGCCAGAAACTTCAGCTCTTTTTCTTGGCTGCAGCTGTAAGCTAGGTCAATGTCCATTAAAGCCTTGTCAAACTGACTAATCTTAATCATTGTATAGAGCCAACTGAAGTTCATGATGACTCCAAACATGAGGTCATCCGTGCGGCCACTCCTGGTGAGGTGATACACCAGCTCTGCCATCTTTCTGTGATTGACAAAGAAAATGTCAGGCTCTAAGAGGTTGCATTGGAACACCCAAGGCTGTTCAGGCGTCTGTCTGTCATAAGAGTATTTGTCAGATGACGTTTTTTCATGGGACTGTTGATGATGAGGGTTTTTGTGATGAGAAATGTTCAGGGAAGTGAAATGGTTGTTATCATAAGTAAAGATTTTCTTCCTGCCTCCAGACCATGCTCCTAGGAAGTACTCAGCCAAGAGGCTGTGCATTTGATGCACATCTTCTTCATTGCTGAGATACAACTTCTGGGCGATAAGATGCAAGTGCCGGTTGGCCCAGACCATCAATGTGACATTTCGCACTTGTCGCTCAACCAGATAGCCTTCTAACTCCTCCCTGAGTTTAGCAACTAAGTCATAGGAGATCCTCAGAGGGTTTTTGAGGTAACTTGCAACAATTACATCACCTAGAACTATGTTGTCAAGAGACAGGATGTCTTCCAGCTCAACCTCTGTAAGCCCAGCCTTGGCCATGGTGATATATCCTAATGCTCTGAAGACAAATCGCTGGCCCAGCTTGTTCTCTACAGAGTAGAAAAGATGCTCTATGCTCTCATGCACAGTAGAGCAGAGCGATTTATCATCCACATCTTTGTGAGACCTCCAGTGGACTACCTCTCTATAGATGAGATTCACAAACATTGGCAATGTACACTTGGCAAGTGCCTCATTGACATAAATCTGCTGGCCTGAGGTTACCTTTCTCTTCACCCCAAGCAACTGCTGCTTTAACATTTGGCTGCAAATTTTTCGATCTCTCTGGATTAGTTCCACATAATAGCTCTCATCGTGGATGAGGTGGCGGAGCTTCTGCAAGATGCCATGCTTATTAGGCAGCGTTGATACAACAATGCGGACTGTGCGAGGAAGATGTATGGGAAGCCACCACAGCTTGCGAGCGTCGTCTGCATCAGAGAGCTGCTCTAAGGCATCCAGGACGATGACCAAAGGCCTATGGAATGAAGATTCTCCAAGAAGGTTTATTAGGAGTTCCTTCATCTCTTGAATCTTATTAGGCAAAAAGTGAATCAGGCAGCGGTAGTTTATTGCAATCTGTTCACAGATGCTCTGGAGTAGAGTTCGTAGGTCTGTGGAGGGTTGGCTGGAGCCAATGAACCTTACGATGACCACTGGATCAGTTTCAGGTCCCAACTCTTTCTGAAGCCAAGCATAGGCCTGAAAAATAAAGCAGCATTGATAAGTTATTGTCACAATCCAAATAATGCATTTAATTAACATTTTTCCTTAAATGATGAAATTGTATTCATATTTTTTATGTTGTTTATATCATAGTACTCTGAGAGTAGTTCGTTTCTGCACTGATGAGATGAATGCTATGGATGAAAACTACTTTTATATTAAGACTCATAATTTCATTCATGAATTCATTAAAAGACCAGCTGAGATTCTGAGAGGCAGTCTAATGCTATCTGACACTTTTAGGGCAACACTGATGACTCCTGTTCCACTTTAAGCTTTGAGTGTGTTTGAGGGAGGGGAAAAAAAAGAGTGAAATGCAAATTCTGTCTGTGGAGGATTCACAATTTAAATATGTTTCAGAAGTGATTTGGTCTTTGTGGCTCAGACAGGGTGTAAGGAAAGGACTGCAGTTACATTTAAAACACTGCTAACATGAAAGTGGATGTGTCTGGGGAAATAATATTTTGTTATTGCACATATCCGCCCAATATTATGACCACCAAAAGTTCAAGTAAATAAGAGGGCTCATCTTTTTCTGAACGTCATGTTTCCGTATGTGACATGAAAAACAAAAAAATCAAGGTTTTAATATTTTGTTACCAAATATATATAAATGGCTTTGATACTTTCATAAGAAAATGAATGAATTTGCATCTACAATTGATTAACTTTTGAGGTCAACCCAATTCAAGATGGTCACCACAACTCATGAACCTTAGCAAAAGCAAACACGATTCCAACTCAGTACATTTTACAAATACTAACTAAACTATTGTATTTTAACGGCTCGGATTAATTCCCTTAAAAACTCCAAATGGTAATTGGTCATAGGTCTTATTGGAGTCAACACTGTGTCTGTTAGCAACTGACTGGATAATTTAAATTAATCATGGCCAGTACATGAACAACTTTTGGAGCCAACCATGATGGATACCGCAAATAATCTTAAACCTAACAAATTTAATTAAAGTTGTGAATATTGGGGTAAATGTAAATTGTTTTATTGCTGTAAAGTGTCCTTGTGTTTGTCACGAGCGTGTGGCGAGGTGAGCTGAGGTGAGGCAAGGATCCACACGCGGGGAGGAAAACAGGCAGGCAGGTGAGAACTTCTAACATTGATTTATTAGAGTCACACGCTGGAACACTGAAACAATGACACGACAGGGAACACAGAACAGAAGGGGTTTAAATACAAGAGGAGCGGGAGCTATGGTGATTGGGAAACAAGAGGCAGGTGGGAGCAATTAACGGAGAACAGACCAAACCTAAGAGTAGACAGGACAGGGCGTGACAGTACCCCCCCCCCCTCAAAGGGCGGATCCCAGACGCCCACAGGAACAAGGAGCAGGGCGGGAGGAGGGGGACCCGGAGGGAGGGCCCAGAGGAACCGAGGGACCACAGGAGAGGCGGCAGGGATCAGCAGAGTCAGGAGGCCTGCGCCTGCTGCAGATGAGGAGGCGACGGGCCCTTGGAGGTCGGCGCCTGCTGCAGATGAGGCGACGGGCCCTTGGAGGCCGGCGCCTGGGGCAGACGAGGAGGCGACGGGCCCTTGGAGGCCGGCGCCTGGGGCAGACGAGGAGGCGACGGGCCCTTGGAGGCCGGCACCTGGGGCAGACGAGGAGGCAAGGACAGGCCCTTGGGGGCCTGTGCCTGGGGCAGATGAGGAGATGGGGACGGACCCTTGGGAGCCTGCGCCTGGGGCAGAAGAAGAGGCGACGGGCCCTGGGAGGGCGGCGCCTGCGGTAGAGGAGCCCTGCAGGCTGGGCCAGGGACACAGGCAGGACCGGCGACAAAGTCCCTGCAGGCTGGACCATAGCGACCTTCAGAGTCACCATCAGAACCGGACACGGGGGAGACGTCAGAACAGACGCGACGTCATCGGACGAGCCGACTTCAGGAGTGGAGGCGGCGACGTCATCGGACGAGCCGACTTCAGGAGTGGAGGCGGCGACGTCATCGGACGAGCCGACTTCAGGAGTGGAGGCGGCGACGTCATCGGACGAGCCGACTTCAGGAGTGGAGGCGGCGACGTCATAGGACGAGCCGACTTCAGGAGTGGAGGCGGCGACGTCATCGGACGAGCCGACTTCAGCAGTGGAGGCGGCGACGTCATCAGACGAGCCGACTTCAGCAGTGGAGGCGGCGACGTCATCAGACGAGCCGACTTCAGCAGTGGAGGCGGCGACGTCATCAGACGAGCCGACTTCAGGAGTGGAGGCGGCGACGCCATCAGACGAGCCGACTTCAGGAGTGGAGGCGGCGACGTCATCAGACGAGCCGACTTCAGGAGTGGAGGCGTCGACGTCATCAGACGAGCCGACTTCAGGAGTGGAGGCGTCGACCCTTGGAGTGGAGGCGTCGACCCTTGGAGTGGAGGCGTCGACCCTTGGAGTGGAGGCGTCGACCCTTGGAATGGAGGCGTCGACCCTTGGAATGGAGGCGTCGACCCTTGGAATGGAGGCGTCGACCCTTGGAATGGAGGCGTCGACCCTTGGAATGGAGGCGTCGACCCTTGGAATGGAGGCGTCGACCCTTGGAATGGAGGCGGTGTTGACTTTCATCCGCTTCTGGTCCTCCGGCTTCTGGACCGCAGGTCCCCGAACCGCCGACCTCTGGGCTGGTAACGTCTGCTTCTGGGCCTGCACCAGACCCATCTACTTCTGGGCTGGTACCGTCTGCTTCTGGGCCCGCATTGTCTGCTTCTGGGCTGGAACCGGAACCGTCTGCTTCTGGGCCTGCACCGTCTGCTTCTGGACCCCCCCTGGAACAGGCCTTGAGTGAACGAGCAGTGCTAGTGCTGAAGACAGGGAGCGCAGAGCGTCGAGTCGGAGCTGATTAGAATGGGCGCTCTGTTGAAGCCGGACCAGCTCAGCCCGTTGACTGGCCAGTTCAGTTGGCTGGACTGTGGGTGTGGCTCCACCTCCCACAGATGACAGAGGAGCCGAGTGGACCGGAGGCGGGACAGCTGGTTCAGCCGGAGCCGCGAACAGTTCGTCCAGCTGGAGCTCAGCGAGCAGGTGGTCCAGCTGGAGCTCAGCGCGCAGATCGTCCAGCTGGAGCCCGCGGAGTTCAGCGAGCAGATCATCTAGCTGGAGGACTTGGAGTTCGATGGTCTGACGAACCTGGGCTGTTTCAACCTGTAGACTGGCGTGCTCCGCCCACAGGGCTGCGAGCGCAGCTCCTCCTCCTGCAGACGCCGATTCGGCCGGAGACGGGACCGCTGGTCTGACCGGGGGCGTGTCCGAACTGGCTCGCCGAGCACGGCCAGCGGTGGGCTCGCAGCTCCGTCCTGAAGCGCAGGGCTGCGGTGGATTCCGGCGTCTCTCCCCACGCCGTGGACCAACCCCGGGGGAGCAGAAAGCCAGCCTCGTGCCCTCGAAGCTGGAGCGATCCCGGAGCATCTCTCCCTCCAACCTCCCGTCCGGTTCCGGAAGGGCGGCGAGGAACGCCGAGGCAGAAGGTCGGGGACGCCGTCTGCGGCGAGGCGGAGCTGGAGCTGGGGAAGGAGAAGCCGGTCGATAGTCGGCGGAGAAGAACTGGAATAAATACTTCCATGGGAGGATCTCCCCGCTGGACCCTTCAGGGGGTCGTGTCATTCTGTCACGAGCGTGTGGCGAGGTGAGCTGAGGTGAGGCAAGGATCCACACGCGGGGAGGAAAACAGGCAGGCAGGTGAGAACTTCTAACATTGATTTATTAGAGTCACACGCTGGAACACTGAAACAATGACACGACAGGGAACACAGAACAGAAGGGGTTTAAATACAAGAGGAGCGGGAGCTATGGTGATTGGGAAACAAGAGGCAGGTGGGAGCAACTAACGGAGAACAGACCAAACCTAAGAGTAGACAGGACAGGGCGTGACAGTGTTCTTTTAAAAGGTGCTTTTAAATAAAACGCATTATTATTTTTATTGTCAATAATAATAATCCAAAACTGTGAATGACTAAAATGAATGGTTCAATTTCTGGCATAAAAGTCTGTCATGTCCCCTCACCACTTCTTAGCATACAGAGGTGTTATATTACATTTCTGTCAGAGCCTTCAGTCATTTATATAAACGTTATTCTTTTAGATTTGTTGATTGTAACCATAGACGTGTGCAGATACTCCACATTTCTATATGACAATAGCTTAGAAAACGCAGAAAATTTGAAGGTGCTACTGTAATGGAGCTGTCACAGTAGTCTGACTGATAAAACCCTCCCAGATGTAGCGTACAGTAGTTTGACCTGGATTCGTCTTTCCCCAGTGGAACAGCTTATAGATGATTTATAAGTCAGACACATAGTAAATATTCAGCGAGCAAATCTTAGGCATGACCTACATTTTTTATATGTATTTATTTTATTTAACAAACCAGAAAGACCAGTCATGTGCAAACTCGTTGTACCACCACAGACACTTTCAATTCCCCTATAATTTCTATGCTGTTGGTTATTTTCTAGCACCGGTTTATACAGATTTAGACCACTGGGAGGAAGACAGACTTTCTTATGTGCGGTTTAGACACTTCAGACACTCTGATGAAGCTAACCAAAAAGGCTAAGTGTGAATCACGCCCAGAGGATTTGAGTGTAAGCACAGTAATCCCAGAGCACTTTGGTCTTTATTCATCACCTCGTCTATTCTGCCTTTAATCAAATAATATTCCCTTCTCCTTCAAACATCAAAGCAACAAAGGGCTTTTATTTTAACACGCCATAAGTACTTAATGGCTGTAGATTAGCAGACGGGACAAGATGATATTAAGAAATTAGGCAAGCGATGAAGCAGGGCAGGACAATTAATCAAATTTGCACAAATGTTTCAGATTTGGTTCCAAAAGATCACAAAAAGAAAATTATTATTAAAATAATTGTGTGATGTTATACTTGGCAATAATGATGTTATTCTTTGAAATGGGTAAACTTTCCTAAGTGTAAATGCGTGTATGTCTTGTGGTGAGTTACAAAAATAAAATAGGCAAAACAATGGCAATACACACATGAAGTGTATGTCTAATGTCAAACATTATTACTTTCAAGTCTGACCTCCACAATGCTCTGTAGCGCAGCATCCCAGAATATTTTTCTATTTGGTGTTTAGATATCTGAGTGCTTCCTTGCTATGCCCCCAACATTGGTAACACATTAGTTAATAGCCTGTATTTGTATAGCGCTTTCTTAGGGTTCTGAACCCCCCCCCCAAGGCTCTTCACAACCTCTTCACAACACAATCAGTCATCCACCCATTCACACGCTGGTGATGAAGAGCTACAACGTAGCCCCACCTGCCCTGGGGAGCACTGGCGGATACAAGACTGATGAACACCGACACCACCGGCGCCGCTGACCACCACCAGCAGGCAAGGTGGGTTAAGTGGCATTTTTCAAGGACACAACAGCAGCAGTCTCTGGTGGGAGCTGGGATTGAACCTGCAACCTTCCGATTCTTGTTCTACCTCCTGAGCTACTGCTGCCCCATTGGTAGTAGCGGTCAGCTGATATTGGTCTTTCTATTGCTGATACTGATATGTAGGAGACATGGTCAGCTGATGGCCGATATGTATTGCCAATTTTCATGGCCGATATCTATACATTTTCACCTTTTCATGCAAAAATGTCACGAATATGATCAGTTGATGTGCAAAATGTCAGAAGCTGAATCAGTTTTTAAACTCTGAATTTAACTGAATTCTTAACTTTGTGCACTGCTCAGCATTAAAGTTGGACACCTAAATAAAGTTAATTTAGAGCATTTATTATGGAAATGTTATTAGTGAATGTAAGGATACATTTAAATTAGATTCTGCCAATCCTTCGGGCTGCCTGAGGATGTGCCTGACTTTAAATCGGCTTTACTAAGGACAAATATCGGCTTATGCTGATGTATAAAAAAACTGTAAATGTCGGCCCAATATATCGGCCGACTGATAAATCGGTCTACCCCCAAATGTAGTCTACATTGATGTATGGCATACAGTCGGCTTATGTATATGCATGAGATCCACAAGGCACCTTGCATTGACAATTTATGGCAGTAAGTGGGCGTGGTGAGGGCGGGATGTGACTAAAAAGCAGCTGAGAAACATTCTCGTTAGTCTCTGATTTATGAAGCGGAAATCGCGTGCAGCTGTGCGTACAAACCTACTTGGCATAAGTACTTTTTTTTTGCTGAGCTTAAGTACGGTTTTAGTAAGGATTCTACGCTATGTTTGATAAATGTGACCCCCGCACTTGTATAGCGCCTCTCAGAGTAAGGACTCCAAAGCGCTTTACACTACAGTGTATCATTCATTCATTCACACACTGGTGGGGATGAGCTACGATGTAGCCACAGTTGCCCTGGGGCGCACTGACAGAGGCGTAAAGGTAGTCATTCAAACTATTCAACTTCCTATGTGTGGAAAACTTTGTAAAACTGAACACGAATCATAACATATGATCTAGTGCACCCAGCAGAATGAAGCTTTCTGTTTTCACTTCATGCTCTTATTTTGGTGAGCTTAACCTGAGGGTCACTGGTGTGCTTTTAGTTTAAGAGGTTAAATTATTGTGATTAAAAAAAATCAGTTGTATTACATAACAGTGGTTATGAGTATTTATTTATTTATTTTTTCCCCATGTCCTGTCTGGCTGTGAAGCAAACAGAATTGATGTCTGAATGCTGGTGACAAGCCTTACAGATTTATTCTCAGGTGGAGCATCAAAGCGTTTGCTTTTAATGTCACGCCTGATACTTAAAACTTTATTGTTATTGTTTTTGAATGCTTTGTAATTCCGACCAGACACGGAGTCAGAGGTGAAAGAGAAAGGAAAAGACAAAAGGTGGGGAGAGAGGGGGGAAGGGTGTGTGTGTGAGTGTGTGTGTGTGTGTGTGTGTGTGTGTGGGGGGGGGGGGGTCCACAAAAATTAACAATAATGAACAAGAGCCTGCTTCTAGACCTGCAGAAAGAGACAAGAAAAAGCAAAAAAAAAAAAAAAAAAAAATGGGACACAACAACAATACAACAAGATTAAGCTCTCACTGCGTCAACTTGATGAAGAAATATATAATCAACATTGTTTAACTGAATAGTCACCCGATAATAAATCACAGTGCATTAAGTGCCCACCATAGTCTTAAGACCTGTGTTGAACGTGCCCAAGTCCATACTTTTGAGAGCACCATGTGAGCACCTGTGTGTGTACACGCGCTTGTTTATGTAAGGTTTCTCTATAGGAGCGTCCAACAGAGAGTGTGAGGGACCACAGATCCGCCCCCCAAAGATGTGCAGGAGACGGGGGGAGCTCCAAGTCCCAGAGATCCAGGCGCTGCCCCAGAACACAGGAAACCCAAGGAGACTACAACCAGAAAGGCATTCCCCCTCGAGAGGCGCAGAGGATCGCACCGAGGGGCCACAACCAGCAGCCGGCAGAGTCCCGGGAGATATCAGCGGCAAGCCCACAGGCCCGTCCGCCCGCAGCCTCTCACCCCCTAGCCGGCCGAGCCCGGGGCCCAGCGACCCGGGACCCAGGGGCGACCACCCCCGCTGGGGACCCAGCAGAGCCCAGGGACCCAGACCCCACCAGGCAGCCACCGGGATTGATCAAGCAGATGCCAAAAATCTTAAACCCCCTGACCCGGGAGCCACGAACACTCAGGCAGACCAAGGCGCCGCACCCCACACCAGGTGTGGCAGGGGGAGGGGAGATGAAGATCTATTATTATGAGTATTTTCCAACAATTAAGCAGCCCTATAATAAAAGTAGATATTGCTATGGTAGCTGAAACCCACATCTGTGTGATGTACACCACTGGAGCTTTATCAGTACTGAAAATAAAAGTATGACTCTTGTGATTTTAAATTAGCAAAACAAAGACGCTTCATTTTAATTAGTTCATTTGGGATATCAATGTTAACCTCCCCAAAAATAAAATTCAACTTTTATAAATAAAATAACTTCTTTAAAAATGTGTTCCTGCTAACCTTAAATGCTGATGTGAAGGTGCTGATGAACTCATACAATGTGTGATTTAAGGCAAAGGTTAAACAGGAGGAGATATGAGGGCGTCTGCAGAGTGACCTTAATGTTGTTGGGCATCCAGATGGTACATAAACACATAGAAATAGTCTAGACAAGCTAAAAATGACACAAAACCATCCTGTAAAACAAACAAAAAAAAAAAAAAACAAGCAACTATACACATAATACTGTAAATCCTAGCACACACATGTCTTAAAATAAAGTCTTGTCCAGATGTGTAGCGTCTTGCACACACTTGCTTGGCTTTAAGGAGAATTAAAGACAGATGCGTGGTGATGGGCTGCCTCCTGGCAGGCACGCAGATGGTCATGCAAGAGATGAACAGTTGCACGCCCCCTCAGACACGGCTGTGCAAAGATCAACGCGTGCTGACACCAGACAGACACGGAGCGGACCAACTGTGAAAGAAGGGAGAAGGAAGGATGGAGATGACAGAAAAGGACAAATGTCAGTCTCACCTGTTTGGCCGCCTCAGAGAGCAGCAAGGTCTTTCCTGTGCAAGGTCCTCCGTAGACCACTAGAGGGCTCATCCTACTCCCCTTAGATGGCATGAGGTACTCCTGCACGAAGTCCAGAGTCTCTGACTTGTACTTATAGAGGGCGGCGTAGTTCTTACAGAGGGACAGGTGCTGTAGGACCTCATCGTACAGCGGGTCGGTCTCTGTGTCGAAGTTCTGCTGAACCGTCGCTTGGATGATATCCACCATGTCCTCGTAGAACTGCTTACAGAGACCTTCCACGTAGTGGCTCTCCACTTCCTGCGAGTAGCCAAGCTTCATGTCACAGTGGGTGACTGAGGAGTAGACGCGCAGGTTGGAGGCAGCCACGATGGTGGGGATGAACTCGTCCCGTACCTTCAGCAGCCGCTCGTAGGCTTCCTGGTTGCGCATGACGCGGTCGCCGCTCTCCACGATGTCCATGTAGCGGGCCATCTCGGGGAGCTTGGCGAAGCGGTCAAAGTTAGAGATCTTGCGAATGTAGCAAACACATTTCCTGAGAAAGGCGGGGGTTTGTTTCCCGAGGGCGAAGTCTAACTCGTCTTCCAAAGCTGAAATGACAAGAAAACCCCTCCCTCGTTAACACTTCTAGAGCCACAATGACCAGATCTGATCATTCAAATCATGTCGCTTGGACCTGATGATGAATTTGTTTCTATCGTTGATTAATTTTGTATAATTATTGCTTCTGGAAAATATCAGAAAAAAATGTAGTTTAGAAAGTAAAACGAAACATAGTAATAAGCTATAACAGTATCCAACCAGAGCAAAGGAATTTGTTGGCCTCTGTGTTCTTCATGGTCCCCTTCTCCTGGAGGTGCAGCACGGCTGTTCGGAAGGTCCTCTTGATCTCCTCCGACACGTTCCTCCAGGCCTTGTCATTCTTGGTTTTTGCTGCGCTGCTTGACTCCATCTAAAATGGACAGAGAGGACAGACTCACTGTAACGTTCCTGTCTGCTAGGAAGAGTCAGTTAGTGGGAAGGGGAAATATTCATGACTTATTCAATTGAAATTGTATTGATTGATTTCTGAGTCATTTCATAGTTGAATTAAAGAAAATTCCTCAAACTTTTCTTCTTCTTTTCTTTAGCCTTTTTAGGGAGTTGTTTATTCGTTCCATCGTCAAATGCCAACACTTCAAATGAACCTCAGCTAAATATTTAACTTAAAGCTGACAGTTTGGGCTACACCAGTTTTCTTCAGGATACGCATCTGTGTTAGGTGGATCTTAAAGGTCCGGTTGCTCTAAAACTTGGACAAACATTAGAGCATGAGACTTCAAAAGGGTTTGAAAAACCACCACAACTGTGATCACAACCTCAATGCAAATCCTCTTTTCTGTACGTGCATACGAGAGCTGAGCCGGAGTCCTTCACAACAAAGGGCACGGACGCAAACCAGCCATTAATGTTCTTAAAAAGCCCAACGTACCCTCGTTTACGGTATCCTTGGGTTTTCTGTTTTGGAAGTTTACAAAAAAGGGTTGGATAAAAAGTTAAATGTCCTACATTTAGACACTGATTGGACTCCCGGGGTTTGCTGATGTTGTATCTACATCACATATGTCAGACTCAAGGCCCGCGGGCCAGATGCGGCCCGCAGAGCATTTTTATGTGGCCCGCGAGATAAATATCAAAAATATATTACAACTGACCCGCTGGCCAATTTTACAGCAAAGACTACAACTCCCATGATGCTTTGCGCCGTTAGCACGGAGCTGACGCACCCCCTCCTTTGTGTTTTTTCCAGCGTCTGCTGCCGGTGTGTGCAGCTCCGCTGTCTTGAACAAACTAAACACTCCTCTCACTCAGCGCCGAGTTCACTCAGCTATTTTCTGACGTTGAAGCCCAGAAACGGAGATTCTAACCGCTCAGTAATGTGTTCACGACTGAAAGAGAAAGTTTTCCAACTAACGCCCAGACAGAGCTGATATAACTCCAGCGAGCAGCGACACGCTCAAACCAGCACGGCTCTGTGGTTGTGTTTCCTCCCCGACACACAACAACGTGGTCAAGCTGCTCAGACATGTTCATCAGCACAAACCTATGTGAGCAGCTGTTGTCATCTAATGTTGTCGTTATTATGATGAAGATGAACAAAACAACAGGAGTCTCCTCCTCAGCTCAGATCAACCCCATGATGCAGGTATCTGGCTGGAACAGGTGAGCATCACAGTAAACCAGTGGAGCAAACTGAGCTTTAAATATGTTGGTTTTATGCTCTTTTTCTGCTCCAAAACATGAAAGTTAACAGGTGAGATGTTGCATTTTCATTTAAGATAAAATGATATTTTTATGTTGTTGTTGGCCCGTGAGAAAAGATTTAACCTACAGTAAACAGGAAGTGGAAAGGCTGCAGATAGATGAATAGAATAGAAACTCCCTTTATTGTTCCTCAGTGGGGAAAGCTAGACGTCACAGCAGCGATGACACTTATTACAGGAGAAAAAAAGGAGAATAAAAAATAAGAAAAATGAATAAACAAGAAAACATAAATCCTGAATAGATTTTAAAAATGCTGAATACACCACAAGTAATGAATACCACTGATGCCTTTTATTTAAAAATGACTTGCTCGTGTGTAATTTGGTTATTCCACATTCAGTGTTAATGCAGAAATATGTTTGTTTCCAAATTTAAAGGTTCAAAATTGCATACATGTTGATAAAGAAAATGTGCAAATTTGCCGTCACTTTTTCAAAAAATTTTAAGTTTGGCCCTCGACTCCGTCCCAGAGTTTCATTTCGGCCCTGTGTGAGTTTGAGTTTGACACCCCTGATCTATGTGACAGAGACATGCTGTACTGTACTTTTAATTACTGTTGTACTGACCAGAGTACGGTTGGGTTTTACCAAACAAACCATCGCACAAGACGCTGGTGATGGATGAGATTGAGGCCCTGTCGACACGTAGCCGGGGATCTGCCAAAACGTAGATATTTTTTTACGTTTTGGCCTGTCATCCACACGAAAACGGATCTTTTTAAAAACTCCGGCCAAAGTGAAGATCTGCGTTTTCTCCGTTTTGGGTGTCTGCGTGTGGACAGACAAAACCGGAGTTTTAAGGTCCGCAACGTCACTTTCCGCGACAAAAAAATGCTGACATCACGTGTGCGACCTGTGTTTACATTAGCCGACAGCATGGATGCCCTCAGAGCTGCGCTCGCTTTATCAATTGTCCAAGCGCTTTTTGCTTGTTTGTTTTTGCAAGCGGAATTACTGCTCCTTGTGGAAGACCACAGACGAAGGACGAGGTTAAGAACGGGGGAAGTACTGCCGCCTACAGGTCTGGCATGTCCTTAACAACGTATTTATCCGGGTACGTGTGGACAGTTTATTTTTTAAACGAGGTGGTGTGGATGCAAGTTTTTGGAGGGGCGGATATTCGTTAAAAAAAAAACCCAGCTACGTGTGGACTAGACCTAAGAACTCCCTTCTTTAATCCCTTTTACAGGTCCTGTTTTATATTTTTGAAACCACAATCTGCGGCATCAGGGTATCAGGTTGAAATTTCCAAGGGTTTGAATAACGGAGGAGCTAGGGGGAGCCCGGCTCCCCGGAAAGGGTGATGGGCTCACATGAAAGCCCTCAACTGACACACCCAGCAGCAGCCCGAAAAAGGATCCAGCTACAAAATAACTTCTCTTACAGATAAAAAGGCATCAGAAAAACATTGAATGTGCATATTGACCTGAATATGACAAGGTTTTTTTCATTGAAAATAATTTTAAAATGTGGAGTCGTCTTATAATCAGGGACCAGCCATTACACACCTGCAACAGCAGAGGGCGCCACGCTGTGTGTTCTCAATAGGAGAAAAAGATGGAGCTGAGTGGACCGACGAGCTATAAGGCAGTTATGCAAATTTTAAGATGACGAGGGTCAATTCAGCAGAGGCGTCAAACACTGCATGCATGGATGCATTAGATGGCAGCGAGGATGACGTTCTGGGAGGAGTCGGCAGGTGTAGCGATCTCACACAGCAGCAGAGCGCGTCTGAATAAAAGCCTCATTTGACTTTTGATTTCACGTGTCAGCAAAGTTCTGATAGTTTGCATTAAAATTGTATTTTTGCTCAGTATTTGTTCTCAAATAATAATAAAAAAAAGTTTATTTAAAAAGTGATTTTTTTTTTGTCTTTTCCTGAAGATTAGTCTTGGAAAGGAAGGGTCGTCTTATAATCGGGGTGGTCCTATATTCGGGTCAATACGGTAATTGCACAAACTTTAATGAAATCTTAAATGTTTTAGACTGAGAAAAGGGTGTGTCCTTTGGTAAGACTTTGAATCTGAGGCAATGTACACATCAATGAATGAGAGAGGGTGTAGCATAAAGTGCTTTGGATGGTCATTGAGGCTAGAAAAGTCCTACAATAAACCTGTTAACCAAATCTGAGTGTAGCGATGTTGTTTCTCTTGTCTTTGCTTGAAACATTGGTCATATTGATCTGGTGGCTTTTTTCAGTAAAACCTTAGAAAAGGTTTACATAATAAATTATGAACGGAATGGAATCGTGAGATCTTGCTTCTTTCATCTATGCCTTATAGCGAAAATTAAGCCATTTCTGTCATGTAGTCATTTGGAAACTGATCCATGCCTTTGTTACCTGTAGTCTGGATTATTGTAACTCGCTATATGCAGGGCTTAGGCAAGCTCCAGTAGCACACCTCCAGGCGGTTCAGAACTCGGCTGCTCGGTTGTTAACATGTACCAGGAGGTCTGAACATATTACACCAGTCCTACGTGCCTTACATTGGCTCCCTGTCTCCTATCGCATCAGGTTTACAGTAATCCTGTTTGTGTTTAAGGCGTTAAACTCAGGGGCACCTAAATACCTTTCTGACACCATCCACCGACATGTCCCGATGCGTTCCCTTAGGTCAGCTGACCAGAGACTATTAACTGCGCCCAGGTACAACCTGAAGTCTCGTGGGAGTCGTGTCTTTTCGGTGCTCGGACCAAGTCTTTGGAATGAGCTGCCAGCCGACGTAAAGCAGGCCAAATCACTGGAGACCGACTAAAAACACATCTGTTCTCGTTGGCGTTTGGACATTGAAGTTGGGATTGCGTGGGCAGCATCGCTTTGAATGTGTCTGGATCTGATTCTGGAAACAGGACTGATATGGATTGCAAACTTGTACTCGGGATTTCTTGTTTCATTTTAAATGGTTAAATGTCTGTTTTATTGTTGTGCTTGTTATTGGTGTACAGCACTTTGTCCGTTTTGGGCATATGAAAGCGCTTTATAAGTAAAGTTGATTTGATTAAATAGATAATTAGGTAATTTCAGAATGCTGATCTGGGTTCCTTCACTTGGCCAGCAGCCTTCGATCAGGTCACGGGGACAACCTGTTCCTTTTGTAATCAGGCTGAAGCTGTTTTTTTAATTCGCGGTCAGATTCGGCTCATTGAACCTAAATGACATTCACATCTTTTCCACGTAGGACAGGACTGTGACGTACATCCACATCCTTACACATTTCCTCGTACTGATCCAGTAAAAACGAACCATGTCGCCAAGTGTTTGGGGACGAGCGTAGAGAAGATTTGGGGCCCCTTTTTAACAGACAGGGGGTTGATTTGTTATTTGTACCATTTTCTATGCTTTATCTTCATTAACCAAGTCAAACTAAAACCGCCACTACTATGTGTTTGTTTTTGGGAGTGTATCAGGAACAGAGTTAGAGTGTGATAAACCTGGAAAACAGGGTTCACTAGCTGGAGGTGACTTGACATGAAGGGAGCTGTCGGCGGACTTAAATAACAGACATCGTTTCGTGTTTTCTGTGGCTGATGCACTATACCACATGGGGAGATTTAGACTCACGGAGTTCTGGTAGTTCTTGAGCATTTGGGCTTTGGGTTTGAGGTAGTAAGCGGGTGGCACAGAGTTTTCATCCCTGCAGTACCACTCCTCCAAGATGTGTGTGTCCAGGCCCGCCTCCACGGCAGCATCGAGGATCATCTCAAACTCTGCTGATTCCACCTCCCCTGGCACTCGGATGCTGCCGTATTTCTCTCCCACCAGAGCCTGAGGATGGAGGACAGGAAATAGAGACAAAAGACAGGCGGCGTGAGACCCAGAGACAGAAGGCGTGACTCAACATAAGCTTTTTTAAAGCTCTGTTATGTAGATCGATGTCTCCAGGTGAAAGGTGGCGTCAGTGATGCACACAGTACCACGTGATTAGAGTAGTTCCAGAGCTCTGGTTGAGCTGGGACCCCAGGAACGCCCACTGTGGTTCTGACACTTCAAACCTCCCGGATCTGTTTCGTACCACGTTGTCAACACATCAGCTTAAAAACAACCACAGTACCTTTTTACCAAATAAAAAAAAAGTTTGCCCTTGTACATGTTCTTGTATTTCAGCATTTGTCACATAAATACAGCATCAAATCAGACAGAAGAACTTCTCACAGATTTAGCTTTAAAACTCTTGGTTCTACCTGACATTTAAATGACTTTTTAAGGTCTTATTGAACAAAAAGGCTAAAATAAAGTGTCAGAAACATCATATATCTTTATTATCTTATAACGCTTGCTTAATTTCCATAATCTACCAATCTTTCCAGGCTGTAAACTGATCTCTGAAGTTCTGCTGATTCTTGATTTTTATCTGGAGCTGTTGAGGTCCCTTTAGCATCATATAAAAATCCTTATAGGCTTCAAACAACCTGTCAGAGCATGGCTGAATTCAGCTAATTAACCAAAACTACCCATTACAATTTTGCCTATAGTGGCTCATTTAAAAGTTCCTCTCAAGATAAAATTCGCAAGGTGCTTCACAAGAACAAAAACTAAAAATATTAACACTAGGAATGCACAATATATTGACATCAATATCGGTATCGTCCGGTGTCAATACTTTATTTCACATATCGGTATCCGGTATCTGTCCGATGAGTAAAACTGGGCTGATATTAGCAGCAGATATTTTTTCTATCTTGTTTCTGTTTGTGTATCTGTTTCAGAGAGTGTGGGGGTGATGATGTGCAAGTCATGGGACAGTAATGGTTATCATCTCAGATGTAAAAATGTGTGGTGTGTGATTATAATAAAGTAGTTATGTACACATGTACACACACACACACACACACACACACACACACATTGTCTGCGGTCTATAGAAATAAAGCAAGACATTCAAAAATTCAGCTTGCATAATTAAGTCTATACAAGGATTTGATTTCAGAAGCATACATGTCAGCGTGTATTTTTATATCTGTATCAGCAAATATTGGTTAGGGTTAGGGTCGGCCATGACGACTGTATTAATGTCAGATGTTGGTATCGGCCCAAAGATTTCATATCTAATAAAAATGATTTAAAATAATCATCAAAATGAAAAAATATATATATAAAAAATTGTGAATAAAAATAATGTCAGGAAAGAACAAGAGAAAATGAAGGGGATCCTGGGAAAGGCACAATTAGTAGGAAGAGCTAAATAAAGAGAGGGTGGTAATAAAGGTCATGCAAAAGTCAGCCTGAACAGGTGAGTTCTCTGCGGCTTTTTAAAGGAGACCACTGAGTCCACTGATCTCAGGGGAGGGAGTCTTATTGAGGAGTGGCATGGTGGTAGTTTTAGGGCTTTCACATCAGCCCTGGTAAGTTAATTGTGTTCACATTTGGGTAATCAATGTGTCGCCTGTGCACAGCTGACTGTTTCATTGGACCAGCTCTCACTCTAGACCAGGTGTGAGGAAACCTGGTTCTCGAGGGCTGCAATACTGCATGTTTTAGTGGTTTCCCTGCTCCAACACTCCTGAATCAGTGGTTGAATCACATTTTCAGCAGCTCATTGAGCTCTGCAGAAGCCTATTAGTCACCTGTTGATTAAAATCAGGTGTGTTAATGCAGGGAAACAAATAAAACATGCAGAACAGCAACCCTTGATGGGCCAGGATTCCCCACCTTCATAAGTGGTTGGACTTTTAGAGCAAAACAAAGCGTGAGTCCACTGTTCTTACTACCTGAAGATCTTGACAAGAAAGCCAAATCCAAGACCTGACTTATTACATAAAAGCAATAGGCTGTAATGGTCTGCGTCTGCATCTCCCCTCATGTGTCTCCTTGTGTTCTCCATCCCTCTCTAGGTTCTCCTTTTGTGTCTCCTAGCACCCTCATGTGTCCTTGCCTGCGTCTTCCTCATGTGTCTCCTGGTGTTCCCCATTTGCTCCCACATCTTCAGCCCTCTAGGTTTCCCTCCTCAGGCATCCCCCTTCCAGGCCCTGTGCTCCCTTGGCCCCTTTAGTCACGTCCCTGTAGTTTTTCTTTCTGTAGGGTTTTCCTGTAGTTTCAGCTTCCCCCTTAGAATATTAGTTATGTTTGCTGCCCTTCTGGTCTTTAGGTTTTTCTCTCAGGTCATTTTCCTTTAGCTACAGCCGTTCATGTTATTAGTCTCTTTAGTGTGTTTTTCCCACCGGTGTTTGTGGTTTCCCCCTTAGATTATTAGTTATGTTTCCTGCTCTTCTTGTCTTTGGGTTTTATTCTTAGGTCATGTTAGTTTCCTTCCTGATTAGTAATTGAGTTCACCTGGTCTCTCTCTCCCCACACACCTGCAGCCCATCTCCCTCTCATCCTCCCCAGTGCATATAACCCTGTCTGTGTCTCAAAGTTTTGTCGGTCCATTGTTCTTGTTAGTCTCGTCCCTGTTCCTAGCCTCTAGTGTTCTAGTGTTTCTAGTTCTCTAGCGTTTTTGATGACTCAGTTTAGATTTTTGGATTTTTGATTTTTTTGGTTTTTGGCTCCCTGCCTTCGGATTAACGACCTTAATAAAGGATTTTTACTTTATCCTCCACCTCTGCCTCGTTCATCTGGTATCTGTATCTTGGGTCCTAAACATCCTCCTACACCAAATCGTGACATAGGCCATAAAAATAGCAAAGAATAAAACCAACGGCTTCTTCCACTCATGGAAATCTATTGATAAAAGGCACTGCCATGTTGTATTTTTATAACCTTAAGAGAGACTAGAGACGTTGGACCTAAAGTCTCACTTACACACAATCACAATGTTTCTTAGGTCAAACATATGCAGAAATACATATCTGAACACGCTGCACCAATGTAAGAACAGGAGTCGAGCTTCAAAGAGTCCCGTGTTTCTAAATCTAAACGTAGAGCTCGGCCTGTTGTTCCAAGAAACAGTAAGCTCTGATCTTCATAAGGTAATTTAAGGCTAAAACTTAACTAAAAGCTAAACCTGTCTTATCTCACAGGATTTTTTGGGCCATCTTCATCCAGCGCACAGATTTGTCAAGTTTAGAGTCTTTTTTTAAATCTCTTCCTCATCTACTCTCTATTTTTGTGAAAGGAGCAGATTGGTTCTGCTACTCCATGGCAAAATGAGTGACACACTGTTCTGTAAAACCCAGTCTTGGCCACATTTCTCAGTAATCATTGGCATTAAGAAAAAGCAGCAGAATTTATATGTTTATGTTTATTTATTTGGCAGACGCTTTTATCCAAAGTGACTTACAATTTACAACCTATAGGGCATGTTGTGATCTGTGGGGAAAACCGGAGTAACCGGAGGAAACCCACGCATGCATGGGGAGAACACGCAACTCCACGCAGAAAGGCTGCAGCCGAGTTTCGAACCTGCAACCTTCTTGCTGCGAGGCAACAGTGCTAACCACTGTGCCACCATGCAGCCCATGGTTATATAGAGCAGATGGGATGTTTAAGGGAAAAAAAGAGCAAATGAGACGTATGAGGGATGTGGATTTGCAGGACGAGCGTGAAAAACGGTTTATGTGGGCTTTTATGTGATAAGTTAAGGTTGTTTTCATAACAGGGGCAGCAGCAGCTCAACAGGTTGAGGGGGTTGTCCAGTAATTGGAAGGTTGCAGGTTAGATCCCAGCTCCGGACAGAGAATTCTGCTGTTGTGTCTTTGGGCAAGGCACTTAACCCACCTTGCCTGCTGGTGGTGGTCGGAGGGACCGGTGGCGCCAGTGCTCGGCAGCCTCGCCTCTGTCAGTGTGCCCCAGGGCAGCTGTGGCTACACCGTAGCTCATCCCCATCAGTGTGTGTATGTGTGAATGGATGAATGATACACTGTAGTGTAAAGCGCTTTGGAGTCCTTAGGGGCGCTATACAAGTGCGGGTCATAACCTTTACTGCTGCCAGACGTGTTTTAAACAACAAATCAACCCCCTCTGACTCTCTGGAGCATTTGCTTTTCTATCCATGTGTTTCTAAGAGACGCTAAACTCAGTATCGTTGGTAAAAATCAGGCCCATTTTCTGTTTGATGTTCTTCGTCTGTCATTACTGTGGACAATAGGAGGAAGAAAACCCTGACTCTCACTGCATGCGTCATAACTCATGTCCACCTGAAGCCTTGCTTGTGGGAAGAGATGTGGAGCAAACGAAGGACAAGCCAAGTGACAGCGAGCTCCGATGAGCAGGAAAACGACTTGCACGCTTGCGGCAATGACGCTTCAAAGCCACTCCACGCTGGAGTCCTTATTCCGTTGGCATTCGCAGCGGGAACAGATGCAGAGAAGGAGCTCATTCAGAAGATGGCATGTTGCTAGGTCTGTGTGGGACGGCCGGACTTTAAAAGCCCACAAATGCTTCCAGTACATTTTTTCCCATTTGAAAGGTTTACAGTCCAAAATGTACAAATTAAAAAAATAAGAAGGTTGGTTTGGTGTCCAAAATCAGCTGACTTGGAGGAGGAAGTTTCACTCGCGCACTCATGATCCAAAACAGCTTTTAAATATTTATTTAAACTAGGGCTGTGCAATATATCGCAAATATATCGTTATCGCGATATCAGCATGCACAATATGCATATCACAAAGAACAGATAGATATGGTAATGAATGGTCAGCTCAAGTGTTTGCTACACATAATGCATTCTGTCAATCAAACGGAAGCATCACGATGTTTTTTAACAAAACAAATAGAGCTCTTCACCCATTTGGCCAATTGGGTGGGTTCTCATAGGTTAGATGCCCGACCCTGGCACTTAATTTTGACGGTTGGCAAACATCTGAGTTAGCTTTGTTCTGCTCTTTCTG